TTCCTTGACTCTGGAGCAAGTGGTTGGACCAGGAGATCCAGCCTTCAGTACTCACTGTTTCTTTCTGGGAAACCTCTGTTTGCTTTGCGTTTTTAACCTTCTGCCCACCTACACATCAGAAACATTGGGGGTGGGAGAGGGGAGAAGAATATTTGGAAATTCCATTCTAGAGGTGTTTCCTCCCTGCTCCCAACCCATCATCATAAGCTCAGGTGTCCTGCCTGTAACCATGTATCACTGCAAAAAAAAAAAATGGAATAGGTATCAATCATAGGGGCATTATGCAATCAGAGCACTTCCTAGGCCTAGTAGACAGGGAGCATCCTGGCCATTGGACTTTTAGTACAATCCCCTGCCACCTTGCCCCAGACATAAAAAGAATGCCTGAGGCTAGGCCATCATCCTTCCTCAGACACAACCAGATTTCAGGAGAGAGTAAGGCAACCTGTAGTAGAGACACTGTCAGCTCTAAGTGCAGCACACTAATAATGGTTTCATTTGGCTCCAGGACTGCACATACTTTTCCCACAGTTGCATCACAACAGTTGGTCTGTTACTGTTTGGAGAGCACCTAAGCTGCTCCATCATTGCTATCTATCTTCAGTGTCCTGTTGATAAGATCTGTTAACATTCTCCAGGCCCAGTTCTGAAATATACAAAGAACAGGGCCTGTTTTTTCAATCTGAGCTTCTAAGGTTTAACTCCCAAAGGAAATTAAATGAGGTGCCTAGAGCTATGACAGTCTGTCATGTTTCTTTGCTGGGAATGTCACCTTAATATGCATATCTCATGTAATTTTTTTAAAAAAATTTAAACTACAACTTTAAAATAATGTATAGTTTTTGGCAGGAACCTGCAACAGTTAGCACAATGACAACAACAATAAGGGGGGGGGCCCAGAAAGACTTAATAGGACATTTTTTCCCTTCTACCCTCATGCTGTCTTTCCCCCAGCCTTTTTATAAATCACAACCAACAAAAAAAATAAAATAAAATAAAATAAATCACAACCAAGATAGTCCCAAGATTGTTGGTTTCTTTCCTTAAAAGCAGGGTCATAGCTTCACTCCCTCCAACCAAGTCCCCTGCATATGCATACGTATGTACCAAATCTGCTTTGTACTAGTGGGTCCATATGGCAATTTACTAGCCCAGGAGATTGCCTTCAGTATAGCTAAGGGTGACCTGCAGGATGGTTGAGGAAACGACATACTTTTCTCATATGACTTCTTATTGGTCTCCCTGACTACGTGATAGTCACATTACTCTCTTTCTCTGTCCTTGGTATTCTAATGCAATGCTATTCCAGGAAACTCTCTGACCTAGGTCCTTCTCTTCAGTAATCATATGTGGATGAGGAGTAACCCTAGTCTGACTGAGCAGAAGTAATTACACCTAATTGGGGTTTAGTTACACTATTGCATATGCTAGCATTTGTCTGAGAAGATAGAGCTAGAAGTGTAAAAATGTGAACATGACCTTTGTGCCACCCACTTGGTCTGGTTATGTTGAGGGCTGGGGCGGAATTGTGAAGAAACTAGGAGCTTTTAACAGAAATGGTAGGCTTATAAAGCATGAGAAAGCTTTAGAGCAGCAAGAGCTCATGTGAGGCTGACCCAAGGGCCTTGTGTGCCTAGAAAAGGTCATGGTTAGTTCATGGTAGTCTTTTGGTCAGGGACCCCCACAGGGCATTAAGTAGGCGTTTGTGAAGAGAACAGTTTCAGGCTGAAACAGAAGTAGGGCCCAAGAGAAAAGGAATAATGACTGTCCAAGAAGTCTTCTCTTTAGAGGATGGCCTTGGTTGAGTTTTTGTCATAGAATCACCCCTTGGGGTTCCTGCTTTGTGTCAAGTCTCCACAGAAAGCCAGCATTTTCCTCCAAAGTATGATGAAAATATATAGTGTCTAGAATCTTGTGCCTTCTGAGTGAATCTCTTTTGTATTCCTCTTTATTTGGGACCCATACACCTCCTTCCTTATGAATCTCCTTCCCCCCTTCCACTGTCCTTCTTTCCCTAATTCTCCCGCCACATCCTGACTTCCCCCACTATTTCACTCTCTGATAGTCTTCCTTAAGGTGCAATCTGAGCATCTTAGAACCTCCTGAAAAAAATCTTCCCTTTGGGTTTTCCATCCCATCCTGTCTCCTATGCTATGTTATCTCAAGTATATCTTGACCCATTCATACATCCTGAAGTCAGGGGTCAGCTCGTCTACCTTATCATTTGAGCTTTCTCTTTTTTCCCCCCTCTATTCCTTTGTTATGGAGATTCATATTTCCTGTCAAGTTCCTATCAAGCCCTGGCTCAATCAGTTCTCTCTCTCTCTCTCTCTCTCTCTTTTTTTTTAGGCAATTAGGATTAAGTGACTTGCCCAGGGTCACATAGCTAGTGTCAGGTATTTGGTCTGAGGCCAGATTTGAACTCAGGTCCTCCTGATTTCAGGGTCAGTGCTGTATCCACTATGCCACCTAGCTGCCCCTCAATCAGTTCTCCTAACCACTGGCAAAAAGGACATGCTAGTTTCATTATATTCCCACCTAAGACTGTGAGCCAGCCTGCTTCTTCTCTAATAAAGGACACTATTTCAGTCATCCCACTCTTGTACCTTTCACATTTTCTTCCCCTTAATCCTGAAATAATCCTTCCATATCTTCATCATAACTAATTTCAAAAATAGGGCTTCCCTTCTTCCTCACCCCTGAAAGTCCTTTTCAGCCCTATCAAAAAGCACCCATATATCAATCTATGAAGTACCAGCAGGAACAAGCCAGAAGTGTAGAACATGATTGCTACTCCCTCTCTTCCCCCTAAGGACCTCCATATTTAGCCAAGGTAACTAACAAGACTGATTACATATGAATATACCTATAGTGTGTAATGTAAGATCATATGTACTTCATTGCTAGATTCTGTGATATAGGTTATAATTAGTGTAGGAAGTCAGAGGAGAGAAATCAGTTAAGACTGAAGTAATCAAGGGGAGGCTTCCTAGAGAAGGCATTTAAGCCAAAACTTGAAAGATGTGCAAGTTTGAGGGAATAACATGAAAGTAGGCATGATGATGGGAATAAGCAAGGCATGTCCAGTGTGCACTTCAGTGAGTGGTAGGAGATGGAAGTAGACTTGATGTGGTAGAAAGTAAGGAGCCATTAGAGGGTTTGATGTGATGATAGCGATACTTTATTTTTGAATAAATATTTTATTTTTCCCAATTACATGTAAAAACAATTTTTAACATTCATTTTTAAAAATTTTGAGCTCCAAATTTTCTTACTCCCTCCTTCCTGTCCCCCCTTCCTGAGATGGTAAGCAATTTGATATAGGTTATACATATGCAATCATGCAAAACATATTTCCACATTAGTCATATTGTGAAGAAGACACAGACACAAAAAAACTGCAAAAAAAAAAATTTTAAAGAGAAAAATAGTTTACTTCAATCTGCATTCAGATTCCATCAGTTCTTTCTCTGGAAGTGGATAGCATTTTCCATCATAAGTCCTTTGGAATTGTCTTGGTGGCACAGTGGATAGAGCACTGGCCCTGGATTCAGGAGGACCTGAGTTCAAATCGAGCTTCAGACACATAACACTTACTAGCTGTGTGACCCTGGGCAAGTCACTTAACCCCATTGCCTAAAAAAAAAAATTGTCTTGGATCATTGTATTGCTGAGAGTAGCTAAGTTATTCACAGTTCTTCATCGTACAATATTGCTGTTACTGTGTACAATGTTCTCCTGGTTCTGTTCACTTCATCAGTTCATATAAGTCTTCCCAGGTTTTTCTGGAATCATCCTGCTTTTCATTTCTTATAGAACAATAGTGTTCCTTTACATTCATATACCACAACTTGTTCAGCCATTCCTCAATTGATAGGCATCCCCTCAATTTCTAGTTTGTTGCCACCACACAGGAAGCTTCAGAGCAATACTTTAGAAAGAGTTATCTGGTAGTTATCTTTTGTAGGATAAACTAGAGAAAGACACTAGAGGCAGGGAAAGTAGCAAGGAGGCTGATGCAGTCAGTAATCCAGGAGAGAGGTAATGCAATGGGAACAGAGATAAAAGGGGGAGTGGGGGTGGGGTATGTGCACAAGAGATGTTTTAATGGGAAAAAAACAGACAAGACCTGATAACTGATTAGAAGTGATAGATGAGGGAGAAGGAGGAGTACCCAATAACCTGGTTATTGATGGGGTCTATATGACTAGTCGTTGGCAGTGCCCTTGATAGAGCCAGAGAAGTAAGAAACACTTGGCATTTACAGAGTGCTAGGCAAGGATTCTAAGATTTTGAGCTGGAAGGAACTATAGAAATCACCACGCCTTTGTATATGAATCATAGAACTGTAGCATTAGAAGGTACCTGAAAGATTACCTAACCAAGCCCATATCAAAAGCTAGACCCCTTTTACAGGATCCCCAACAAGCTGTCATTCTGCCTGTGCTAAATCAAGCCCTCCCACGTGCCCAGAAAGCAGTACCCTGGTGCATTGGGGTTGGGGATACAAGGTGGGACTAGATGAGGAAGGAGCTTTGTGGATCTGTTTTCACTATAATTGCATCAAACAGTGCAAAAAAAAAAAAGAGCAAAAATCTCTTTCTTCTCCCATATTTCAAACTACTTCCCAGAACTAGCACTAGTAGCAAATACTGGCCAGTGACTGGAAAACCAGACGTGTGTCAACTCCCAGGCCTACTAGTTTTCTCCTTCCATTGCCGTTGTTCTCCTGGACAGTCTCCTTTCAGTCTCGCTGCTTCTCCCCACACCCCAACCCTCCATTAACACATTTGGAAAGATGAGTGACTATCAAGAAAGGGGGTAGGGGGGACAGAAGGAGCACAGGCTGGCCTTGTAAAGGGAAAAGGGAACCAAAAGTGAGAGGCCTCGAACCGAAGAAAAGGGACTCAAATCTTCTGTGGGCAAAAGAAGAGTCTGTTACTACAATTAGATAAATCCCTGAGTATAAAAGCATAAAACTCCTATATCTCTGTTTCCAGATTCTGTTGACTGAAGAATTTGTAGAAAGAATGCTGGAAGACTTAGAAGATTTGACTTCTCCAGAGGAAGTAAGCCTATTTGTATCAATCTATGAAAGCTTTATCCAGTCTTCAGGTGGGGTGGAATGGGGGGCGGGAGGAGAAGATTCTTAGTTAAATGGCTTTTTTTTCTGACTTCCCCATCCCCCACTCCCACCCCCTCAATCACACCCCCACCCCCCTATTAGTCAGCCCCAGGCCATTGTAAGGATGCCTGCAAATTGTCTAAGTTACCAGCCCCCACCAAAAAGCCAGACCAGCCTTTCATGCTGCTGCTCGCTCTCTTCCAGCCCTTGCTGTTAACTGGCTGATTGTGAACAGAAAGCACATGTTTGTTGCCAGATAGTATTCCATTTGGAAACATACTGGTGGACTGCTAGGGGACTCTTACTTTTTCTATTAGAATGTCCACCTGTTAGTTACCTTCACTATTGCCTCTCTTCCTCCATGTGCTCTCCCCATTTTTTTGGCCTCTACCAACCCTTGCCCCCAGAACCCAGGGAAGAGGCCTGTGTTGAGGGCTGGGGCCTGTTCCTCTGCAACTCCACACCTATTACAACTGAAGGGCCTGTAATCCTTTTCTTTTTCTCCTTCAGCTTTCTCTGTGTTCTCATTTGGAGAGACTTACCTCATCTTGGAAAGTCCCTTCCCACCCTCCCTCCGTTTAGTCTCTCCCCTCCCACTGAAAAACACCTCTGAGGGATTTGGTTCTCGGTCTGCCTTAATGCCCAGGTTAACATCACATTAGAGAGCTGGAACAACATGCCCCGATAATGCTGTGTGTCTGTCCCCCAGCATCTAGGCAGAATAATTCCTGACTTAGCCCTCCCCAGTTGGGATCTTAGTGAAGCAGAAATCTTTCAGTTACCTTTCCTTGAGGCTCAGGTCTGGCCCGGGCTCCCGAACCAGAGTTTCCTTTCCCAGTTCTGGGGGCCCAAGCATAGCCTATCAGGCACCTTTTTACTACAGCATTTCTGTCTATGACTGAAAAGTTGTTGGGGTTCACCCAGGCCCTGAGAGGTCTCATGGCTCTCCAGTTCAGGACTTTTAATCCTTGTTTTAGGTAATTGGGAAATCCCTAAGGGTGCTATTTTGCAGATGATACAGTACAATAAGCGACCTGCCCCAGGAATGCACTCACTTCTAGTGAGTCTATTCTTTCTTTTACATATACACAAAGTCATCATCCTTGGGACTTTGCATAGGCCAGTGCTCCAGGGGTGTCAATTCAAAGAGATCAAAGACAGCAACTAGAAACATTTCTGGACAGGCACTCACACTTGTGTCCATGTACAACTCACTCATATGATAGCACTAGGCCAAACTTCAGCTTTGAAGGTGGGTGCTGGGTGTTGGGGCAAGGAGAATGTGATGGTATGGAGAGGAGAAAAGGGAGCCAAGGGGAGCTCAGGAAAGTAGGTCACCAAAAATAACCCTTTTCTTTTTTGCTTTTCTGACCAGAGTCTTCCCCTACATCCCGCCTCCTTTCTCTCACCTTCCCCTCACTACTCTCCCACATTCACCAGTGACATGGGCCTCCTTAATCTAATTAAAGGGCAGGAATGAGCAAGAGGCTTCACACTCATATCTTCCAACCCCAGAAATGGGCAAGCTGAACCTCTACCAGTCCTTGCCTCTGTTCTATTCCAAGCAAATTACTTGGCTTGAAGTTCTTTTCTGATAGTAAGATACACATAGGGCCAATCTGTGATGTTATATGAAGTTTTCTGAAGAGCCCAATGTGCTCTGTTTTTGGGAAACCTGTTTAAAGGAGGAAGTGACCCATCATTTTTATTTCCAAGAGATTGGCCAAATAACAGAAAAGATTTCAAAGAAACTTGGAAAGGTGAAAAGGCTAGAGTTGAAGCCTTTTCCTTCAGGGGCACAGATATACTCTTGGGAACTTTAACACCCCCTCCCTGACCTTTAAGGGAAGGAAAGGCAGGACAGAGAGACCAGGCACTTAGGAAGGAAGCCAGGGACTTTTCTTCTTTGGAGACCTTTTTCAGTCATCTGCAATAAAGGATGTAGGAACCAGCTTCAGGAACCTCCTTTCTATATTTGCAAAAACCACTGTAGCTAGGAAGGCCAAGACCCTAACATATGGATGCTCTAAGCCCCAAACGCTGAATGGGAATTTCCATGCTTTTGGCAAGAACAGGCCCAGAGAAGTGAGATATGGGTGGTAAGGAGAGATTAGGAAACTTGCCTGTAACCATCTTTAGTCAGTGATGTCAGAACACAGAAAAGGAATGGTCTTGGCTTGGGAATCCTAGAATTTTGGTGTATTAGAATTTCTCCTTAGGGATTAGGTTGGAGGCTGGATTACCCATTGGGAAAAGCTAAAAGACACTTTAGGAGTAATCCAAACCTGCCCCCTCCCTTCATTTTGCATATGAGAAAACTGAGGTTCAGAGATAGGAAATAATTCAGCCAAGATGTCTGGCAGAGCCAGGACTGACTAGAACCCAGGTCTCCTGTCAGTACTGTTTCCTCTGCAACAGGCAGAGGAAAAACCTGGGTAGAAGAATACCTTCACTCCAGCTACTTACCTTTGTTCTGGCATTTGAAGTTGAAGTCATGTTCTCAGGTGACTGTTCTCTCCTCTCCCCTGAGTACCCCCAATTAGAAATGAGTCACCTGGACTGGGGTGAGGGGCTGTGGGTGAGGTGAGAGGAGTGAAATGAAGGCTTAATTGGTTCTAGTTTGTCTTTACTTTGACCATAGAAAGAGGGGAGTAAGTTCTGCTAAGCATATATACTGTGCTTATCTGTTTCTGTTTCTCCTTCACAGTTCAAACTTCCCAAGGAGTACAGCTGGCCAGAAAAGAAACTGAAAGTCTCCATTTTGCCAGATGTTGTGTTTGACAGCCCACTGCACTAGCCCTGAATTCAGCCCCTTCCTTCAGACGACCATGAGAGCTCGGCCTAGCTCCCAAGTGACTCAACAGTGTAATGATTGCAGTAAAAAACGATTCCTGCAAATAAAAGGAAAAGAGAGAGAGGATTACTGCACAGCCACTGCAGCCCACAATGGGGTGCATAAACCGGGACTGGCCCCAGCTCCCCTCCACCTCACCTCTTATCTGGGGGCCAGGCCACTCCAGGCCCATTAGGAGTGAATGAGACCTTGTTCCGGCCCAGCTCAGGTCCCACCAGACCAAATGAGTGGCTAATGACACTGTCATTCCACCTCTGGTTTGGAGATATGACTGTAGGACCCCTGACTTTCCCACAAGCTGTCTGACCTCACTCATCTATGCTTGCCCACTTCTGCAGGTCTGGGGAAGAGCCCTAGACCCACGGATTAAATGCGCTGGCTCCTCCTGACTCTGGAAACCTTTTGTTAGTCAAATTCCTCCTGGCTACAGAACAATTCCTCCGAGTATGTTTGGGTTTTTTTGTTTTGTTTTGTTTTTTGTATTTTATTTTTTAGAAACCATATGGTATTTAATTGCTCCACAAAGGTGTCTAGAAGCTGTCATGCATATTGGTTTTGTTTTTGTTTTAAATGGAACTGGTTTTCAAGTTGAACTTTCTTCTCTTGGAAAAGGACAAGGGATACCTAGCCTTTCCCCCTCCCACATCCCCCCAACCAGCCAAGTCACTAGAAGGTGCTTAGTGTTTGCCTGCCAATGAGTAGCTACTGTAGGGCCTTTTGGACAGAAGGACTTTTCTTCACCAGCTCAGAAGCCGTTGTGGATCCATTAGAAGGGTGTTCAGAAGCAGGAGGCATCTAGGTAGGAGTAGGGTGAAGCTATGTCTCTAGAGACCTGGGACCCCCTGATGTGATACTAGGCCCTGGCCCAACCCTTACTAGAAAAGGCTGTGTTCTTTGCCAGGTGGGTTGGGCTCCAGAAGCCTCAGGGAGCCCCTTGGCCTAAAACTGGCGCCTGTGAGGCATGAGGACTGCAGCCAGCACTGCCCAGACTCTTGGAAACTTGGAGAAGATATCAGCCTCGACTTCTCAGTGGGCTTCTCACTCTAACTGGGGCCAGCCTAGGAGAGGGAGAGTCTCAGCCCCTGCAGGCACCTCCCCCACCTCCAGCTAGCTCAGGGTTTGTGTGACCTTTTAGGTCCCCATTCTCTTCCCTCCTTTCTGATCTCATCTTCCCTCAGGCCCCCACAGCTCCAGGCTCTAGGAATTTCTAGTTTATTAAAAGCTAAAAAATAAACTTCCAACATCTGTCTTGTTATCATTTTGCAACAGCACATTCCACCTCCTCCTCCCTTCTTCCTAAATTCATTTCCTTTATTTGTTCCTCTTTCTCTCATCTTTCCCCCTAGCCCTCTGTCTTCTTGTGTACTTTTTTCCTTTGCCCCTATATCTCAGCCCTTTCTCTACATCTCTGACCTCTTTCTTCTACTGTATTTCTGGCTTCTTTCCCACTAACATCCTCTGCTTTATTCTGTATCTCTAGTCTTTTTCCCTTCACTTCTGTCCCTCTCTCCCTAAATCTCTGGCTTCTCCCCCTGCATTTCTGGCCTTTCTCCCATTAACATATTTTTGTCTTTTCCTTGTATCCCTGGCCTCTATCTTCCTGCATCTCTGGCTTCAAGCCCTTTTGCCCTGAATGCGCAACCTGCCCCCCCCCAATATCTCTAGTTCCTCCCTCCCTTTATCTCTGACTTCTCATCACTAGTACTCTTTCTCCTGTCACTCCCCAAGTACCTGACCCGTCATCCTCACGTGACCTTCTTTGTTTCCTGCATCAGGACACATCACCACCACCTCCAGTTCTAGCCTCCCAAGGCCTCCTTTAGGTTCCCTCCCACCCCAGACCTGAATGAAGCTGTTTTAGCAATGGAATTAAGGGACCATTTCTGGCACCATCCAACACACACCTCCATAACATGAGAAGCATACCATAAGCCATGACATCCATCATAGCTCACAGAAAGCTGGCACAAGAGATGACTACCCCTCCAATGCCCAGCTAGGCAAAAAATTTCCCTGAGCACTTCTCTAGGGGATTGAAGAGATGAAGACTGATGCCAAAGATCGGAAGAAGAAGGTTGATGTTAAATAGTCTCCAAGAACCCTTTTTCCTAATGGTCTCCAGAATGGCTATGGTGAGTGAGACTTAGTCTTGTGGACTATTAATGAACCTTAGATGTGAAGACAAACCAGTCCTCTTCTGGATTTCCCAAGCATATCTTTCACTCAAGCCTAGGAATTCCTTAGCATGAGCTTCATTCATGAAAAATATAGGTGTTGTACTTGCTGACCCCCAGTTCCCAAATACCCCAGCAAGGTTCCATCTTCATCCCATGTGCCCCTTTGCTGCCAGTTGCTGGCATCATTCACCCCAGCTAGATGATTGCTTTCTTAGTGTCTCTCATTGCAGCAGTGTTCTTTGGTCTTCTCAGGAGGATTTTTCTGGGAATGTCTTCAGCCTTAGCCCTGAGATGCTTCTGATCCATCCCCTAATCCTTCTGCTGCCACCATCTCCATCCCTTTTAGATTCTTCTTCTCTGCCTCATGGAAGGGGAAAAAAAGATGCAGCCAGCCTAATCAGTCACTCCTCTCTAAACTCCTCCACCCCACAATCCTCTCCAGTGGCCCTTAGTTTTAATCTTTGTTTGGTGTCTAAGCCAGTCTTCCTTGGTACCAAAAGCACCAGGTTATTGCATGAGGAAGTTTAGGATTAATGGGTTGACTACCAGTATGAAGGACCTGGATAGTCCTGTGTGAATGGGGAGAACGATGTAAAAGATAGCCTAGCTCAGGGAAGGTGGCATGGAAGAATACACATTGCCCAGAAAGCCCACTGGGCAGTCTGGAAGGCCGGTGGCCGCAAACACATCTTACCCTTCCTATCCTACGAACTGTTTGTCCTGGGCCCAGAACTTCATGTCCCTTTTCCAAAGTGCTTTCCATACATGGCTGTGCATGTGCATGCTGCCTTTATATTGGCTCTAGTCCCTTCCTTGGTGGAAGTTGGAAAGGAACAAGTTAGAGGGTCTTTATGGTTTTCCTGTTCAGGATGCTCAGGAAGAATGAAACAGGGATCATCATTGAGCTCTTTGCTGACCCCGCTTTCCCTTGGACTTCGTAGACTCATCCTCCAGACAGAAACTCTCAGGAACTTGTATCCTGAACTGGGTATCTGCTCTTCCTTTCCTACTTTGAACTCTCCCAGCTCCAAGGGAGGGTCCTTCCTTCCCTACAGTGGCTGATTCTTCATTGGTCCCACTCTAGGACTATTTTCTTGTCCCATCATTTCCTCTTGTCTCAGATTCCATGGTAGCCTCTTTAAGGAAAAGGGGGAGCTCCCCAGTATTTACAATTTTGATGGCTCTCTGACTGGATAAGTCTTACAGGACACAGGCTTTCAAAATCTTGGGCAACGCTTGTCATTGTCACTTACCACTTCTGGGCAACTATCCCTTAGAGGCTAAAGAATTGCTCATACCATCTCTCTGGGTCAGAGTGTAGGAATCCAGCCACGGTCGTGCTCCATCTTAAGAACACTCTGGTCTTGCCTCGTCTCTTTCCAAAGGGGTGGCACAAGGAATGAGATGAGAGGAATGGAGAGAGGTCTCAGGGATTTGAAAAGGCTAGAGCACTTTTTGAAAAGAGACAGACCTAAATCTGTGTTTGGCCTGAATTTTGAAGTTTGGTGGAGAGCTGAACTATTGACATTCTACTGTGAGGGAGTCCCCCTTTCTCTGCTTTTTAACTAGGCTCTTTTCCTCTCTGGATGAGAGGACCTTGTGCCCAAAGGGAAGTGCTAAGTCCTGCATTGGGTCAGGATACTGTAACTCAACTTCTCATTTTGTTACAAAAACCTAAAAGCTGCTTTGAGCAGAGCTTTTTTTTAATCTTTTGTATTAGTTTCTATTATCAGTGGTGACTTGGTTCCTGGGCACTGTGGCAGGCCAGGACTTTTGTAAGAATTTTTTCAGTGACTCACTGAAACCGTTTCCTTCCCGCCCCCTCTCCCTCAGTGTAATCTAAGTGCATTAAACATGTTTGCAGAACTACCCTTGTCCTGTGCTGCTTTCTGTCTGGGCAGGGGTGGAACAGAAGCCATGCCAGAACTAAGGTTTTTACATCCCAGGGGATTGGTAGGTGGCTCCACAGTGTCCCTAAGCTGTGGAATAAGAGAGTTGAGGATGACCCTGAGAGGTAGTGGAAAGACCCCCTCAGGGCCTTGTTGGGATATGGAAAGGAGTAGGGGGAGGATTACTCAGTTGATAATTTTTCTGTCACACAAAATAATTATTTGTCCAGATCCCAACTCAGTACTCATAAATTCCTATAAGGTCATGGAGGGGAGGACTGGAGAGGAATAGGGAGCAGAACTTCTCTGCCCAAGCCCAACCCTGGAAGAAAAGCCCCATCCAAAGCAGGGAATGATGAGAAAAACATGGAGGTTAGTAGAGTGGGCCTTTTCACAGGAAGTCATATTCCCTACTCTAAGTGCCTAAAGTGGGAGGAGAAGAAGACCCATGAGAAGAATGGCAGAACTGGCCTCTTCGTCTTAAGGGTAGGGATGATATGTCCTCTTGTAGAAAGGGACTCCTATGGGGAGTAGTCACCCTACAGGCTCAGCTGGGCTTCCTCCCTCCTTTGCCACCTTGGTTCTGGGTGTGTTCTTCATTGGCTACCCTAGTCCCTGTCCCCACCCCTTCAAGCCAGAAGCCAGTTTAGAAGAGAAGACAAGCAACTGAGGAGATTCATAAGCTTCTTTGTATCTGAGGCTGATTTTTAGTCCAAGGAACCCTGTCTTGGTGATTGTTTTGTTCTGGCCTCTCCCTCCTCATTGGGGGGATGGGAGTGGAGGATGGCTGAAGGAGTTTCAGCATCCCTTACCTATCCTCCTGGGAGAGGGTGATAATATGCTTACAATGGGGGCAGGGCCTCAAGGACCCAGGTGCTGTGGGGGACAGGTGATGATTGGGTGATTGAAGCAACTGCTGCTTCCAAAGGAATCTCCAGCTCTTTGTTTATTGTCACCCTTCAAGGGTCTGACCATGTTATGGAAGGAGAGGGGAGTTGCTTCCCCAGAGTCAAACCTGTACCTCCCCCTCTATCCATGACCTACTGATGAACTCCAGCAGGCAGACCAGCTCCGGGAGCTGCCGGGCAGGTCCCTGGCTGGGGCCCCTCAGCCCCTTAGGCAGCAGGAAGAAGGGAATGGGGAGGGACTAGGCCTAGGACTGAAGCTAAAGTTAATATTTCTAGGGCCTCCCAGGCCCCCAAAATCACCCCCTGAAAACCTAACCATGCCCTTCCCCAGCATCTTCTCAAGCCTCCCAACTGAGCAGGGCAGGTTCAGAGGGAGAGGGTGCCTGTCTCTGTGGGCGGTGTTGCCCTTCCACATCAGATTCTTGGCAAAAGTATGGGGCTGACAGTTTAGGCTAGGGTAATGGGAGGGAAGGGGGAGTGCATGCTCTGCTCTGACTCAGAGCTAAGCTGGATTGTCTCTGGCAAGAAGCAGAGAGGAAGGACAGGTGGGTGTCTGGTCCTGAGCACAGCCCCCCTCCCAACCTCAGTCTTTCAGGGAAAGGTACTTGGAGTGGGAGAAAAGCTAGTCCCATCAGGTCTGGGGCCCCCACTGGCTTTGATGTCTCCTCTTGAGGATCTTGAACCTCATACATTCCTTAAGGTGCCAAGGGGGCTTACAGCCTCCAAGAGCTGTAGGGCGGGGGAATGGGGAGAGATTTGCCAAACTGGCCTGACCAGAAGGAGAATGTGAGCGGAAAATGAGTCAGCTGGGTCCAGCTGGGACTGGGGCAGCTGCAGCAGCTGTGGCTGAGCTGGGAGAGAAACAGCCGGGTGGGCTAAAACTGAATGATTTACTACAGGGGCCAATGTCCCTGGAGAAAGAGAGGGAGAAACTCAGAAAACTGCAAGGACAGGTAAAGGCAAAGCACAAGAGAGAGATGGCCCCTGAAAACTGGAAAGAACAGGGAGGATGTCAGTCGTCCCCTCTGCCCTAAGAAAAGCAAAAGAACAGCAGTCACCTTTCTGACCAAGGCCTGGGTCCCTGAGAAGTTACTAAGGAGCCACAGGAGGTGAAAGAGCATCAAGGAAACCCTTCTTTTGGAGGCTAACTGAGTTCAGGTCCCCTTGACTCACTGGTGTGAAGGTAGCTGTCCCTTCAAAAGGCAAAACAGGGGTCTGCCTCAGGGGAGGTGGGAACAGGGATGAGAAGAGTGTTGGAGTCAGGGAACCTAGGTCTGAATTCCAAATCTGGCACTTATACCTGTGTGACCTCTGTTTGGCTTTTTGTCTCCTCTATAAATTTAATTGGACTAGATGACCTCCAAGCTCCACCTCAACTTATAACACTATATTTTAATAATAGGTATCAGTATGTAATTTTTATCTAGGCAGAGGACTCTCCCTTAGAGGTCTCTTACATGGGGGACTTCAGAGGCCAGAAAGAAGGGACAGAAACCCTGTGTTTTGTTTGATTTCACCCTACACACAGAGAGCTCTGAGGGATAAAAGATGGGATTCCTGGGTTCAAGATACCATATTCCTAGAGACCTATTTCCCCATCCAGACCATAGGGTGCTGGTATGGTAAGAAAAGTCCTGGATGCCATGTAACCAGAAGGGAAGGAGGCCTCTTTGAATAAGAATCCCCTAGTCTTTACCCTAGAGTCTTTGCTTAAGCAATCTAGGGCTGGGCTCAAAACAGGATGTGCTTACTAGTGCTGACCTATCCAGAGATGAGAGAATGGATTAGATGACCTCTCAAGGCCCCATTCAGCCTCAAGAGCTGGGTACCATTGTTCTTCTAACCAAAGCAAAGGGTCCTCAGAATATGGAGTTGGGGTTAGGGAAGAAAAACCTGCCTCATTCATTTTCCTCAGTCGCTGCTATGCCTGGGCTTGTTTGTGTTCAGCTATGATTCTCTAAAGATAGAGAAGATCTAGGCCCTGTTTTCAGGGAGGTTGGAGAGAAGTCCTGGAGCAGAGGAATGGGCAGAGATCAGAGGAAGTCTTCCTGTAGAGAGGAATGCTGGAGAGCACAGGATTGGGAGTCAAGAGACCTAAGTGTGAATCCTGGCTCTGCTGCTTACAGCACAACAAACATTTATTACATGCTTGTGGCATTCAGCAATTCATAGGCAGTCGGGAAAAATACTCTACTAACCCTCACCCTCAAGAAGTGTATAGTTATCCGAGCCCCTCCTCCCACCCTCCACCAAACTGTAATGTAACTCTAATGTACTATCTTATTTGGGAAGTGCATTAGAGTTACAAAACCCCAGAGTGCTAAGGTTGGAGGAGAATGTTATTGATGGAGAGGCAATCAGGGAAAGCTTCCTCAAGGAGGTAGCACTTGAGTGGAGCTTTCAATGGCAAAGAGGAGGAGGAAGGTCATTCTACAGGCAGGGAAGAAGGAGCAAAGGAAAGAACCACGAGAGTTCAGTGGGTGTTTGGGAGGCAGTTGGACTAAGGAATGCGTAAAAGGGAATAATATGAGTTTGGAAAGACAGGGTAGAGGGCCTTGAATGCTAGGCAAGAGGAGTGTCAACTTTCTTCTTTGGACAATTAGGAAGCCATTGAAGATTTTTTTTTTCCTTAGGCAATTGGGGTTAAGTGTCAAGTGTTTGGTCTGAGGCTGGATTTGAACTCAGGTACTCCTGACTTCAGGGCCAGTGCTGTATCCACTGCACCACCTAGCTGCCTTGCCATTGAAGATTTCTGAGCAGAGTAATGACATGACAAGATAAGTGAGTGGATTGCCATAGCCAAAGAACCTATGTTCTACTGCTAGAATGCCCTGTGCTAACAGCCAAATGAGTAATGTGAATCCTAAGCTCAAAACCCTTCAGTAGCTCCCTATTACCTATCCAGCACGTTCAAACTCCTCTCCCTGACGCTCAGCTCTGCGCATAAAACTTATTCTGGCAGAAGTTTGAAAAGGATTGAAGGGAAGGGGGCAAACCAGGAAACCCTGTACAGGCAGTGGGAATATTCACAAAGAGGGAACTTGAGAGAGATATTGCAGAAATGGAATCAAGTCCTGGTTACTGATTGGAAGTAAAAAAGTGAGAAAAGTGGGAGGAGTCAAAGATAAGCCCCAGGCTATAAACTAGGTGAATGGTAGTGCTACAAACAAAACAGTGAAATCAGAAGTGGTTTTAGGGTAGGGAGTTGGGAGTGGGAGTAGGAAGATCAGCTTAGATTTGGAGTGAATTTGAACTCTGAAACAATGATGATGTCCTATAGGCAGTTGGAAACTTAGGTCTGGAGCTCAGGACAAGGCAAATCCCCTCACTTCCTTGGGCCTTGTTTTCCTCATCTATAAAATGTACTATATGATCTCAAGCCTCTTCTAGCTATAAATCCTGTGGTGTCTTCAAGGCTTCAAGGCTGATAACTGTTAGAAGTTAACACTAAGGCCAAATGAGTGGTACATACATACTCAGTGCTGTATAATCCAGAACAGGGAGAGATTAGGGAAGGAAGGGTTACTACAGATCTCAGCTGGGCTTTGAAGGATGAGTATGATTTGGACTTTAAGAAAGAAGATGGAGGGCATTCTAAACTAGTTGCCATGGGAAATATCTAAATGTATCTCTCAGCCACCAGATCTGGGAGACCAGGTGAGGAGGTCTGTTTAGGATAGATTGAGACAACCTCAAGAGAAAAGAGCAGCATGTATTATGGGAAGAGCAGAAGTGTCACGAACTTGCTGGCTTCCAACATGACAAAACAGGAAAATGATAAATGTTGGAGAAGATGTGGGAAAATTGGAACACTAATACATTGTTGGTGGAGTTGTGAACTGATCCAACCATTCTGGAGAACAATTTGGAACTAGGCCCAAAGGGCTATAAAAATGTGCATACCCTTTGATCCAGGAATAGCACTCCTAGGGCTATATCCCAAAGAGATCACACAAATGGGAAAAGGACCCACATGTACAAAAATATTCATAGCAGCTCTTTTTGTGGTGGCAAAGAATTGGAAATTGAGAGGATGCCCATCAATTGGGGAATGGCTGAGCAAGTTGTGGTATGAACAGGCTGACTTCAGAAAAACCTGGAAAGACTTATATGGTCTGATGCTGAGTGAAGTGAGCAGAACCAAGAGGACTTTGTACACAATAACAGCAATGACTAATCTTGTTAAACTGAACCCTTCTCAGCATTACAAGGATCTAAGACATCTCCAGAGGCCTCGGGATAGAAAATGCTGTCCACATCCAAAGAAAGAACTATGGAAGTCGAATCGCTATCACTTATTTTTACCTTCTGTTGAGTTTTGTTTCATCTTTCTGATGGTTCCTCCTATTGGTTTTCATTTTTACTTGCAACTTCACTAATGTGAAAATATGTTTAATGGGTATGTAAATGTAAAGCCTATATCAGATTGTGTGCCGTCTTGGGCGGGGGGAGGAAGGGAGAGAAAAATTTTCAACTCAAAAGCATATGGAAGTGATTGTTGATAAAATAAATTAATAAAATTTAAAAAGTAAATAAACTTTAGAATTTTATAAAACAGTCTCTTTTGAATGCTATAAATGTGTATTTTAATGTAACATCGAATAAAAAATTCTTGTCATAGTCAAAAAAAAAAAAGAACTTGCTGGCTTCTCAGAGCATAAGACTCCACCCCCAATTTCAATAAACTAAACCCAGGGATTATGGAAACTAACTCCCCAGTAGAGCAGCTTCAGCAGCTTCTCCGGAGAATCAGTCTGCCTCTAGAGTTCATGGATACAAGGAAAAAAATTCATTAGCACTTCTTTCTCTCCTTTTCAGGACCCTCAGTAAGTTACAACGTCTAACTGTAGGTATCTTACAGGCTTCAGTCTTAGGCCCTCTTCTCCCAAATATACTACTTCACTTAGTGATCTCATCAGTTCCCATGAATTACCATCTGTATGAGGATGATTCTCAAAATCCTCCCCCAACCTCTCCAAATTGACCTCCAATCTCATATCTCCAACTATCTTTCACACATTTCAAAATAGTTGTCCAGAGATATCTTATACTTATCAAGTTCAAAATTGAAATCATTATCTTTCCTTCTAAACTCTTCCTATCTCATACCCTTCCTATTATGGTTGAGGGCAACACCACCCTCCAAGTCTCTGGCTCCAAATCTAGGTGTCATCCTGACTCCTCACTATCCTTCACCCTCCATATCCCATCTGTTGTCAAGGCCTGTCTGGTTTCACCTTTGGATCATCTCTGGAATCACCTCTCCCTTTTCTCTCCTCTGACACTGCCACCATTCTTAAATGTAGACCCTATCACCTCACACCTGGACTACAGCAATAGCCTGTTGGTGGGTCATTCCTTCTCTCCCCACTCTAATCTATCCTTCATTCAGCCACCAAAGTAATTTTCCTAAAGTGCAGGTTCAGTCACATCACCCCCCTTACTCAATAAACTCCAGTGTCTATCACCTCTATGATTAAATACAAAATCATCTGCATGGCGTTCAAAGCCTTTCCTAGCCCCCTCCTACTTATGCCTTACTGCCCATTTGTCCTATGACCAAGACTCAGCTCCAGGAATTTTCTCTGGCTGTCTCCTATGCCTGGAATGCTCTCCCTCCTCATCTCTGCCTGCTGGCTTCCTTTAAGTCCTTGTCTACAGGAAACCTTCCCTCTCAATTCTAGAGCTTTCCCTCTCGTTAATTTCCTATTTATCCTCTGTGTAAGCTTGTTTGTACGAATTTGTTTGAACGTCCCCTCATCTACGTTAGACTGTAAACTCTTTTGGGGCAGGAACTGTCTTTTTCTTTCTTTGTACTCCCAGCACTTCGCACAGCCCCAGACACACAGTAGGCACTTAATAAATGTTTACTGACTACTTATTGACTGCTTCCCCCATCAACCTAACACACCAGAGGCTTCTGGTGCATCCTAGACTGTAGTCCACCGACCCTATACAGACTAGATCTCAGAAAAATAGCAGTGTGTGAGACACTCCCCACACACATAGGGAGGAGATGGGAAAAGATCTCCCACGAGGGGTGAGCGGGTTGGTGGGGAGAGAGGTGAAAAAGACGTCATCCTGCTTTTTGGTAGAGAATTCGGAAAGGGAGAGGGGCAGAAAAGAGACCAGGAGGCCAGAGATTTCCCCTGGTGGGGAGAAAGAAAGGGGAAGCAGCGGCAAAGAACAAACTTCCCTCTGGGCAGGGGAAAGCGGGTGGGAATGGAGGGAAGACCCCCTCCCCCCGACTTGGGTAGAAGAGGGAAGGAGGCGAGGAGGCGAGCGACCGCCCACAGAGGGAGGGACGAGGTGACGGACGTCCCACAGGGGAGGGCTCTGCCGGGGCACCCTGCACCAGGCTCAGGGCCCCCACCGGTCACTAGGGGAAGGGGGGGGTTGGTGACCTGCCCATTGGGTTTTGAGAGGGGAGACAAGTGGGCGGAGACCTCAGACTGGCCCTTTCGGGCTCCCCTATCAGCAGCGTTCTGGTAGAAGGGTTCATCCAGTGACCCTCCCCTCTTGGAGAGCCGAGGTCCCGGGCCCCACCGCCTGCGAGGAGCAGACCAAGCGAGAGGCCGAGACCTAGTGGCCGCAGGGACCGTGGCCCTTTAAGATGCTCAGAACTCGGAATGCTTAATATAGATAACTAACTGAAACCGAGTCATGTGACAAGGGCTGCTCGCCCGCTTCCCTGAGGGGAGGGGGAGCGGGCGCGAGGCCAATAGCAGCTTCAGGCTCAGAGACAGAGGCGGGGAAGAGGCGGGGCCGAGCGCCCGGGCGGCGACAGCGGCACTTCCGGACCGGGCCCTTGCCCCTCCCCCCTCCCGATTCGTTTATAGCGTGAGGGCCGGTGTGAAAAGGCGGTGATTTAAAGACCTCCCCTTCTTTTTCCCTCCCCCGCAGTAATACTCCAGACCTGTCCCCATTCCAGGCTCTGGGTTCTCTGCTTCCAGCTGGAGTCTCGGACTAGTTTATAATGCCCAGTGATATCCCTTCTCCCTGTGGAGGGAGGATTGGGGGGAGGATGACCGAGATGGGGGGGAAGAGGCTGAGGGATACGGACGCGGTCTGCACACACGACCCCTCCTCACTACCCTAGAAACGCACGAACCCCCTAGAGTGTTATAGCAAGACTCGCGAGGCCCTGGATGCGCTGGGTGCCCCGCAGGAGGCTAGGCCTAGAATTGGGGCCCAGGGTCCGAGGAGGAGCCGGGGGCCGTGATCAGGCGGTCCCGCAGGCCCTGTCTCGGGATGTTGCTGGGAGCGCAAGGGAAGACCAGATGAGCACTTATTTTTATGAAACATTCATCCCTGAAATAACAATAATGCGTCAAGATGGCTGCGGGGCTGCGGACGGGCCTCTTCCTTTTTTTTCCCCTCCGATCTGAAAATAAGCGGAAAGACGGCGACGATTGAGGGGACCCGGGCCTGAGCCCATTTCCCGGGGGCCGCGCCGTTGGACTGACAAGGGCTGACTGGGCCAGCACCTGGGGGTCTGGCGTTTGTGCCTTCCTTCGAAAACCCATGCACATATTTTTGTTTGGTTTAAAAAAAAAAAGCTCCAAGGTGGGCGGTACAGGGGCGGGGAACCCAGACCGAAGGGTCCTCGATGTCCTCGCCAGCCCCCTCCCTCCCCCAGCATCCCTGCCTTCCCCGCCCCCACTGCGCTAAACAGAGCCGGGGACCGCCGAGCTCAGCCCCTACCGAACCCCCGAGACTTGGAGACCAAGAAGAAGAGACTCGGGGTGGGGCAGGGAAAGAGGGAAGGAAGGACAGAGGGTGACGACAAGGAGGGAGGGCAGGGGCTGGGAATGAGAGGTGCGTAGCCTCCCATTCCCGAGCAGTGGAGAAAAATTCCTTTCTACTTGGATCAATCCTTGTTTTTCTCGCCCGCTGTCCAGCGTCTGAGACGCGTGGGGTGGGATTGGGTTTTGTTTTGGCTTTTTTTGCCCTTGTCCGGAGGCTGGGTGGCCGCGAAGAGGTGAGCGGGGCTCGGGCCAAAGCGCTGGGTTCGGGTTTTCCTCTACCTTCCCCCTCCTTCCTCTCTCCAGTACCCCCAGCCCACGAGGAGACGCGATTTGGGGGGCTCGGGGAGGAGGGGGGGTCGTCCCTTCATGTCCCTCCCGCGAGCGCTCCCTCCCTTCTCCAGTCCCCTCCTCCCTACGCCGGTGCGCCCTCCCCCCTCCTCCGTCCCCTCCTCCTTCCCTCCCTCAGCCCTCCCTTCCCCTGTCCGTCCCTCCTCCCTCTTACCCTCCCCCTTCCGTTTCTGTTGGTGGAGGGAGGCGGAAGGAGGAGGGCTGGGATCTCGGGCCGGGGACGGGAATTTCATCTGAATGACTGTCCCCCGCGCGCCCGGCGCCCCCGACTCGGCCCCGGCGCCCTGCAGCCGCCGCCGGGAGGACAGCGAGCGGGGGACCGCCCCAGCCGGGACGCCGGGCGCTTGGCTGGGCCTCGCCCGCCCTGTTCGGACCTAGCGGAGCCCTCGGGCGCGGCGGCGCTTTTTCCGGCTCCTCTTTGAAGGGACGCGAATCTCGGACTCGGCGGCGGCGGCGCGGAGGAGGAGGAAGAGGAGGAGAAGGAAGAGGAGGAGGAGCCGGGAGCGCGGGGTGGCGGCCGGCGAGAAGCCCCGAATCCCGGCAGCCAGAGAGAGGAAGGGAAGTGTGCGGCTCGCGGAGAGGCAGCTGCGGGGCGCGCCCCAATGTCAGCGGACGAGCGGAGCGGGGGAGGCGCAGGCGGCGGCCGCGGCTTCGTGGATGGAATTTGGACTTGGGCAGGCCCATCCCTGGCTCGTGCCCCGGCTCCGGCCAGCGCCGCCCGCTAACACTCCCTACACTCAGCAAGGAGGAGGAAGAGGAGGCGGCGGCAGCGGCGTCGTGAGCACCCCCTGCCTTGAGAAGCCGGGCGCCGTCCGCCAGTGCGGAACCCCAGAGAGGCTGTGCTGCTGAGCTCGCTCAGGGCGCATCGCTGCGCGGCTCGCTCTAGCGACCGCCTTGGTTTTAAGCGGGACTGGTCCCAGGCTGCGGGTAGGAAGCTCAGGCCGGGGCCCGGCCAGCGGCCAAGGCCCGGCCTGGGGCGCTACAGCTGCCTCCTTCGCCATGGCGGAGAATTGGAAGAACTGTTTCGAGGAGGAGCTCATCTGCCCCATCTGCCTGCATGTCTTCGTGGAACCCGTGCAGCTACCTTGCAAACACAACTTCTGCCGCGGCTGCATCGGCGAAGCCTGGGCCAAGGACAGCGGCCTGGTTCGATGCCCCGAGTGCAACCAGGCCTACAACCAGCGTCCAGGCTTGGAGAAGAACCTCAAACTCACCAACATCGTGGAGAAGTTCAACGCGCTGCACGTGGACAAGCCGCCGGCCGCGCTGCACTGCGTGTTCTGCCGTCGCGGCCCCCCGCTGCCAGCCCAGAAGGTCTGCCTGCGCTGCGAGGCTCCCTGCTGCCAGTCCCACGTGCAGACGCACCTGCAGCAGCCCTCCACCGCCCGCGGGCACCTCCTGGTGGAGGCCGACGACGTGCGGGCCTGGAGCTGCCCGCAGCACAACGCCTACCGCCTGTACCACTGCGAGGCCGAGCAGGTGGCCGTGTGCCAGTACTGCTGCTACTATAGCGGTGCCCACCAGGGACACTCTGTCTGCGACGTGGAGATCCGGAGGAATGAGATTCGGGCAAGTAACTGTTACCCACGGCCCTAGAAGATGGGTGGGAGAAGTGGGGGACAGGATTCTCAACTGGGGTGGGGATGGTCAGGAACCGGGCAGAAGTCCGTGGGTGTGGGCAGAACTAGAGGCCAGGTCTGCATCTTCCCCCCCCACCTTCCAGCCTGCCCCGTCCTGGACGGGGGAAGAGGCTTGGTTGACCCCAGCCTGACTGGTTGCCCTAAGCAGTAGACAAAATGGGACCTCGCTGTTAGGGTTGTCTACTGTGGTTCCTTCTTCAGGACCAGAGTTGGGGTGGGGGGGTGCATACTTGATACTTGTCTAAGGATAAGAGAAATCCATTCCCTAAATGATTATTCGGGAAAGCCGCCTTGTTGATGCCCCTGGCCTGCTTTCATTTGGGCTACAGTTTGTGTGACCGGTGTCCCAGAGCCATTGCTGCCCCAGCTGGGGACAAGCTGCTGCCCGGGCAGCGAGGAAGTAAACAAAGGCAGCCATGTTCGAAGGCTGGGAGCCCCTTAAGAAACACCGGGTTCTTTGGGTTTTTTCCCGGGAGGTGAAGAGGAATAGAATGGAGTTATGTGTCGGGAGAAAGACCGAGAATCCAGAGACCAGAATACAGAGTGAGGTTCTATGTGGGTGGCAGTGTCTGTCTGCGCAGACCCGTGTGCATGAACAAACCTTTAAAGTCTCTGTCACCCCGAGCTCTGATTGCCTTTTCTCCAAGCACAGCCCTCTCGGCTCCCAGTAGTCTGGAGGAGAAGCTAAGCGCAGAAGGGTGGGGGAAAAAAATCTGATAGGTTTAAGGTTGAGCTGCCTTGAAATCTGGTTTCAGGCAGCTCACTCCCCTGGGCTGCCCTGCTCCTTGATTGCAGCTGCATCCCCTCCCATTGTATATGGCCTGTCAATGTCACCCCCACACATGCCTCCCTTCTTGGGCTGTGGCCCAGGGCTGGGAGGCCAGCCTAATGCAAGGTGGGGGGGATTCCCTCCCTCCCTTCCCGGATGGACAGCTTCCCATGGGGTAAGGGGAGTCCCAGCCTGGGGAGTCTGGGTGAGTCGTGGCAGAGGGAGGGAATTGGAAAGATTCCATCTCTGTGGGAAGGCCCAGCCCCCAATCCCAGGCCCAGGGTGTGAATAATAAAGAGGGGGCCTGAGCTGTGGGGAAAGGGGATTGATTCTTCCTGACCCCAACTCCCACCAACCCTGTTGGGTAGTGGCACCCAGGGTCAAAGAGGGCAGATGAGGCCCCAAATATGAAAAAGCCCTACAGATCACTGCAAAATGGGGGGTGGTTTCCTGTGTGTGAACCCAATTCGAATGACTCACTCTCTGTAGCAATAAAGAACCCAATAGGATGGGGGGGGGGAGGCCAGTGATCAATAAAAATTAATGTATGACTGGTTTCCAATTTGTAGATCCAGCTCCAGGTTTCTTTTCATAATACAGACTGATAGTTTCTTTTAAAAAAAAAGTGGTGGGGAAAAAATTTTTAAAAAGTGGTGGGGAGGAGAGGGCTCCCAGCTGCTCCCCAGTCTCCCTCCCCCAAAGGGAGCCCTGTTTCCTCCCTTTTTGACTTCCCCAGCTTGGCCCTGGGCAGAGAGGCTTCAGCAGTTGCTATTAATAAAGATTGGAAGGGGTTAGGAGGGAGAGTGAGCTAGTGATGAAAAGTATAGAGCCTGTAGGAAAGCCAAGATGTCTAGCTCCTGTCTTGAGGAATGTGGGTAGGGGGGTGGAGAGGTGGAGACTGAAAGAAAGAGGAGGAGGGAAAGACCCTTACAAGATAACTTTGCCAAGACTTAATGGGGAGGCGGTGGGGGTGAGTGGTCACTGGCCCCAGAAGAAGGGAATATAGGCTTGCTTGTTTGGAGTCTGTAGGTGTATATGTGTCTTTGGGGGGGGTTAGTCTATATATCTGTGTCTCTGCATGTGATTTCTAACTACTCTTGGAGTAGTGTGTTAGTAGTATGCACACAGACTCCCCTCTCCTGATGCCCCAGGTGGCCTGGCTATCTGTTCTCCTCCCAAAAGGCCTTCCTGCATCTTCTCACTGGCTCTTGGAAAAAAAGAAGGGGGGCTGGAGGGACAGTCAGGAGATATCAAACTTTATTGGCAGTGTGTGCCATACTCCAGAGATGAGACATAGGGCATAGATACTGGATTTTTGTAAGCATCTGCATCAGTGATAACTTAGACCCTTAGCTGGAGTCTTGTTCACCCCCACACTCACTCCTACCTCTAGCTAGACCCGCTGTCTCCTGTTTCTCTGGCCCTCACATTCCTAGCATTAGAAAAGCATACCAACAACATTCCTGGTCAGGTTGGCTTATTAAATTGGTGGTGGTCCATCCTAACCCTTAACTACACACACTCTGGAAAGATGGAGACTCAGAATGGGTTGCCTACTGGAAACATTGTCTCTAGAACTGCCATTGGCCCAGGGGCCCCAGGAAGCTGGCCTGAGTCTGGTTGGGCTTGGAAGCCCCAGCCTTGGTTCCATCCACCATTGGGAGTCCAGTTTGTTAAATGGATCCTTCCTTAAAAGAATCTAACCCCTGGTGCTTTGGGCTGAGCAGTGAAGTAGGAGGTGGGTGGGCAGGGAAATAGTAACAAACCCTAATGTTGGGGGCGCCACTGAAGGTACAGGGTTAGACTCTTTCTCTTAAGCTGTGCCAGCTTCCCAGAGGACTATTGGGGGGGAGGGAAGAGAAGAGCGAGAGCTTGCTTGATTAATTGATTGGGGGTACAACTGCATTTTATATAGGGAACATTTCTCATTTACTAGACCTCCCTCCTTCTCCCATAAGCATGAGCTGGTCCTCTCTTCCTCTTTTCCCACCTAGTCCAGGCCTGGAGTGGGAGGGGGTTGGGAACAGGGCCATTGTCAGGCTTTGGGGTAAGGTGTGAGGGGACCACAGGAAATTGGTATTTGCCAGAATGTGTGAGCTGGGGGTGGGTAGAAAGGGAGGACGATGTTGCCAGATTTTTGCTGTATCCTTTGAAAGCTGACCTGGGGCCACAGAGTCAGAAGGAGGATAAAATCTGGGCTTTGAGTTTGGGGCTGGGCTGGGAGGGGACCCTGGGAGTAAACTATCCACAGCTCTTTTTAGGCTCCAAAGCCAGATGGTGGGGGGGGGGATAGATGGCCTGTGGGGCATCCGGTGTGGTCTAAGCCCCAGGCTAGTTGATCGCATCTCCCCCTCCCCCCACTGGATTTTGGGTTGGGGGGGCATCAGGATCCGGGAATGTTGCTGCTTTTCCTGAGGCCAGATTTAAAGCATGGGGGTCACATTTATAGAAGGACCAGAGGAAGGGATGAGGAGGGGGAAGGGTCTGGGTATTGGTTAAAGGCATCTGTGGAAGGTTCTAGTCTATGCTCAGTCCTTTACTGAGAAGAAGGAATCTGGGGGGGGGGAGCTAGAGAGAATGGTCTACTCCCATTTCTGTGTGTCTGGGTGTCCTTGTAATTTTTCATATTACAGTATTGCTGTGTAATTCTGGAGTGCCTCCAGGACTAGGTGAGAATTCCAGTAAATGTTTAAAAAGTCTCTAGAATGGAGGCTCACCTGGCTTTGGAGTGTCTAACCCATGGCCTGGTTCCTACCCCTCGTTTTTTTTCCCATTCTTGACCTTCTCGTGGGGGAGGGGGGGCAGGGGGAGGGTGGCACAGTGTGTAATAAAGATTCTTCTGGGCTTGCGCAGGTAGACTGCTCTCCTTGACCTCCTCTTTGGTAACGAGTTTGTGGCTAGCTTCAGGGAAAGAACACCCACTCCTCACTCATTGCCCTGGGGCTTGGGAGAAAGCCCTGGGTTTTCCTTCCTGCTCCTGTCTCCCTGGGTGGTCATGGGCACTAAGCCTTCTGCTAGCGGGCGGAGACAGGACCTAGGGGGGCTGGGGGAGGTTTTTTTCAGCCTGAATTGCTTTCCTCAGCACTTGGGAGTGAGGAGGATTCAGGTGGGAAAGTGGAGGGGGTGATGTGCCCAGCTCCTAATGAAGTTGGGGGGAGGAAAGGTTAGTGCACAGCTTGCTTTAATTGAGGGAGTGGGAGGGAAAGAGGGCACCTACCCCATCTGAGCTTAGTCTTTCCCTCTTTTTAAGGGAGAGGGGTCGTAACCCTGGGTGAGGAAGCAAAAGTGGTTAACCTCCACCCCATTCCCGGACCCATAGTTACCCCAGACATTGTGACAGGAGGGTGGCTGAAGAGGCTTGGTTTTCCCAGGCTCTTTCACCCAAGGGCTCCCTCCCATGCCCTACCTAAAACTGGAGGCCTGAGAGGCCTTGGCTTGGTGAGGAATGGGTACCTCCTTCCCCTAGGCAGTCCTTTTCAGGGTAAGGGAGAAGCTAGGAGCCAAGTTCTAGGGCCCTACAACAAATACAAGCACATAACACATAAGACAATTACTCTCATTTCTCTCTATAGCATCATGCTGATCCAGCATGTGAAGCTGTCATATCCTTACCCCAATTCCACATGCTTCCTATTAAGGGTGTGTGTGTGTGTGTGGTGTGTGTGTGTGTGTGTGTGTGTGTGTGTGTGTGTGTGTGTGTTGCTGTCTCTGTGAGACTATGTGTCTGATGTGTGTGACTTTGATGTTTTGTTGTGTGTGAGGTTGTGTTGTCTGTGACTTTGGGGGCCTGGATCTTCTCCAGTGAAGAATAAAGGGAAGGGAAGAAGATTCCCAGAAGACTAAAATTTATGGAGGATGTTAAAGGAGAGACTAGATGTCACTAAAATTCAGAGCGGGGTGGAGACTGGGGAGCTGGGAAGGGGGTTAAGGCCAGCCCTAGAGGCCCCACTGTGGGCCCAGCCCGGCCAGCTTGATGGCTGGCTCTTTGAAAGCCTTCCCAGCCGGGCTGGCATTCAGGCACAGACAAAGGGGGGCTTTCTCTCTGCCTCTTTGTCTGCCTGCCCCAGAGCCTGCACTCTGCATGGCAGAAGCTAATTCCGCTCTGCAGCTGGGAAACCGGCTCCTCATCTCTCAGGCAGGTCCAGGCTCTGGGTGTCTTT